TCGGGACACGACACCCTCCCGGCCGCCAGGCCACCGCGCCCCCTGGCCGGGCGCGTCCTTTCGGGGCCCAGGCTGTGCTACCCACTGAGATTACGGAGCCCCTGGGCATTCGTGAACCGACGGGCCTCCGGTAAACCGCCCCCCAGCTTCGTCAGGTAAATTTGGAGGGTGACGGGTAGAGGGAGAAGGGTGGGCACGAGGGCAGCCTTTCCAGTTCAACACGGAAAAGGTACGCTGAGGGCACTGGGCCAGAAGTAACCTGGCCGTGGGGCGCCAGGGAAGGAGGTGGGGGAGTGCCGGGTCAACAAGGCGCGGCACACCCTACTGCACCTTCCTGTTTTGCAAATCATTCCCAGTGGTACCAGTTTGAGGCTTCCCTACACACCTGCACAACCTGTCTTCCACTGGGTTTTTCCACATTTCTAAGTCTTAGTGGCCTTTATCCCTGTCGGGCACACGCGGTGCCTCACCGCGGGGATTGCTCCTTGAATGAGATCCGGAGTTCTGCAGAAGCTAAAACAATAGCAGAGACCACAACGTGATTCTGGATCTAGGACCTTCTCCGTATGTGTCTGGGGCAAGACACCATTATTTGGCAATATCTCAGTATCGTTATCTGCAGCTTGAAGAGAATAAGGTTTTGCATCTGACACCTCGGAAAGTGTTGATAAGGCACTTTACAGGATTATGAAGAGGGTTATCAAATAGAAGAGGTTGTAAAATAATTCGCAGTGCACAGAATATAGAACAGGAGCTCGAGGAAGTAATTTGGCTGATGTTTCACAAACTATTTTGCAGTTTCAGTTCCAGTCCTGTTCTGAAGGTAGAAATAAAGTTGCCAGATTTATGTATACTGGCAAAGATATTTCTGGAGTTCAGTAGAGGTTTTGAGCAGAAAAGCCAGATAACACTCAGCCAATGCATTTAGTAACTGAAAAATCACAAAAGAGCAAGTTGCAGATGTTGGCTTGTGGTTTTGAACATTCAATTCAGTTCTGTTCTTGGGCAATATACTCCTTGTTGGTGATCATTGTAATTAATTGTATAATGTAGAAATTAAATTTACACCTTAACAGGACAAGGAATATATGTATTTTCTTGTGCTTCATGCACAAAGGGCACTTATTTAGGGAACATAAGTAAGCTCAGACTTACATGCTCTATGGACAAAGCCTATGTGTTTGCTGCATGAAAAAATTGTTGAAGAACAGTTCCTTCTTTCAAAGCTTCTTGGCACTTGTTTTGGTGGGCACATACTTTTGGCTTCAATGACTCAAAATCTTTTCAAATGTTCTATTGGTATCCTAGTACTTGTTTACTGTCATAGATTCTTTTTTTCTTCCTTTGACCCTATAAGCATTGATCCTTTCTCTAGTCTGAAATTTATTCTTATTTATTTATACTTGCATTATTCCAGAGAATTTGAGGCAGCATACAGAAAATACATACTATACCACAAAATAGAAATAAGTAAACGAAGAAATAGGTATGCTGTTAAAGAGAGGGAAAATAGGATACCAAACAATACAGCCAATTGGCCAGAGAGTTTTATAGTGTTTTTGAGATCACAATGAAGCAGTTGATCAAGAGAGGCACATCTTGTCCTGATCTGAAGACTTTAGAAAAGTTTACCTCATGAGCCATTATAAAGTGAAAACTCTGAATTCCCAGTTTGGAACAAGGATAAATGTCTGATAATCCTTCAAGCATGTTATTCTTGAAACACAATGTTTGATATGAATTGGGCAATAAAAAGTTTGAGGTCATAGGCTTCAACAAGACTCTGGAGTGCAGATATTTTTATGTTGCCAGCAATGGCAGATCCATATGCTTTGACCATCAACCCAGAGGTGGATAGCATGGAAAAAATTGAAATTCTATGTGGTGGTTAAAAAATGTGTCTGTTATAATCATTACTTGTACCACAATTGATGCAAAGAGGAAAACATTTGCTTTATTCCAACTCCAAAAAAGAATCTTTTTTTTTTTTTAAAGATTTTATTTATTTATTTGAGAGAGAGAGAATGAGAGAGAGCACATGAGAGGGGGGAGAGTCAGAGGGAGAAGCAGACTCCCTGCCAAGCAGGGAGCCCGATGCGGGACTCGATCCAGGGACTTCAGGATCATGACCTGAGCCGAAGGCAGTCGCTTAACCAACTGAGCCACCCAGGCACCCCCAACTCCAAACGAATCTTAAGGATTTCAAAATACTGGTTGAGTTCATTTAAATAAGATCAGTGAATTCATAGCTGGTGGGTTAAATACTATACAGTTGGTAGAGAAATTCAAGTTCAATTTCCATAAAATAAACATACGGTACATAAATTTAGTTTTACATCGTAAACAATTAGGCACATAGTTTCAATAATAAAGAAAAAATGTGGTGGGGCGCTTGGATGGCTCAGTCGTTAAGTGTCTGCCTTCAGCTTGGGTCATGATCCCAGGGCTCTGGGATCGAGCCCTGCATCTGGCTCCCTGCTCTATGGGAAGCCTGCTTCTTCCTCTTCCACTCCCCCTGCTTGTGTTCCCTCTCTCGCTGTGTCTCTCTCTGTCAAATAAATAAATAAAATCTTAAAAAAAAAATAATGTGGGGCACCTGGGTGGCTTAGTCGGTTAAGCATCTGCCTTTGGCTCAGGTCAAGATCTCAGGGTCCTGGGATCAGCCCCAAAGGGGCTCTTTGCTCAGCGGGGAGTCTGCTTCTCCCTCTCCCTCTGTGCTCGCTCTCCCTCTGTGCTTGCTCTCACTCGCTGTCTCAAATAAATAAATAAAATCTTTTTAAAAAATCTTAAAAGAATAATAGTAGTAAATATTACTAAATAAATAAAATTTTGTATTATTATATTACTAAGTAAAAGTAATATAATAATAAAAATAATAATTAAAAAATTGTAGCTAACAGGAGAGTTTCTTACAGACTACCCAATATTATAACAAGGTATGGAATAAGAATAGATATAGCTTGATAGGCCCTTGATCCCAGCCTCAATATCATATATTCATTGTGTCTTCATAATATCTGACATGTGAACATCTTCCAGGTTTTACTCTTATCTACATAACAACCTATAATGGTTTGCTCTGTGCTTTGTAGTGTTTTCCGTTCTATCAAAGTTCTTTAGTAAAATGCTAGTTATGATCAGTGGCTTCTGGTTTCAACTTTAGCCAACGCTGAATTAAAAAAAAATTGGGGACTTAACATTTTTTAACTTCTAGGTAGAAGTTAGTAAGCTTCACAACTTGCTATCCAAGACAGAAAGCCTAATTAAAACTCTCAAGTGTGACAGAACAGAGCATGAGGACATTAATTTTTGTGTATGGAACATATAGGCTTAACCTATATAATCTCCTGATGAACCTTCCAGCATAAACTTGTTGCGAAATGTAACTCTGTGTAATTGAGTTTATTGCTCCATAGATTTGTTAGATATAAATTAATTAAATTTTGGAAGACATCTGCCACAGTTATGATTTAGGTTTTCAAATAGTTCAGCTATTCTTTGTTATTAGTTAGGGTCAGTTGTATATTGAAGAACCATATTTTCCAAGTATAGAAAAATTCTGTTTTGCCCTGGACAGCAATAGAACATGTATCTCATTCAGAATCAGTATCAGGTCATTATGATGGGAATTTTAAAAAAGAAGAATTAGGGGTGCCTGACTGGCTCTGTTGGTGGAACTTGTGACTCTTGATCTCAGGGTTGTAGGCTTGAGCCCTACTTGAGGGTAGCAATTACTTAAAAATAAAATCTTTAAAAATATATGAATAAATACAATTTTAAAAAATAGAAAAAGAAGACTTGAGGAAGGCAATGCACATTCCATTTTTATCCAGCTTGAAATGATCATCTGATATGTTAAAATGCTTTTTTTATGAATCTTGACTCCCAGGGTGGATTTTAGGTTTTAATGAGGACTGGTAGCAGTGTTCTTGTATTCAGTTTACAATTTGGTCCTGTCTGCAAATTCAGTAGCTAAGAAAAAAATGTAAGTTATAAATAATCATATGTTGTTTCTTGTTGATTTCCTCACAGTATAATAAGTATAACATTCAGAAGGGATGCTTGAAGTTTGCTCACACCTCATATAAACTAGTGTTCTGAGAAGCCCTAATGTACAGAAGAGACTACCTTGCCTGGCTGTGGCCCTGTCCTACAGCTGTATTGCTCTTAGAGGATTCTAACTAGCTCTCTTTTTCCTTGCCCCTTTAGGATGAGTATGATAACGGCATTCCGCTGTTGCTGGTCTCACGGTGTTTCACTCTCCCTTATTGGTTCCTTTAACCCTGTCCTCATTTTTATAAATAGTCCTTTCATTAGATTCTCTTTCTGTGCTGTATCTCTCTTATCAGAACCCTGATTGATAGTTACAGGAATTGGAAGAAGCCTCAGAAAAGAAACCCTTGCTTTGTGGGATGGTATTACTCACATAATCTGATAATTACCTGTATAAACTTCTTGCCGCAGAAAATGAAACAATGGCATCACAATTACTGAAATAACCATCGGTAGTGGCAAGAGATGGAGTGTGATGGAGGGCGCAGCACTGGAAGACCAGTCTCTTGCACTTAGCTGCTTTGATAGTGATGATTACTAAAATCATGGTGTCATTTGCTCTGATTGCCTCTGAGAGAATAAATGGGAAAAAAGACAAATGGCCTGAATTCCAAACTTAAGGCATGAGTAGAAAATCAAAAAGCTTCTTTGACAGCTTTGAAGAAACATTTCTCATGTAGCTGCAGAGAAGATAATGGCTGATAATCAAGCCCATGGCCGAATAGTAAAGGCTATCAAGTTGCAACATTAATTAAATGTGAGACCTAGATCTGTTATGCTAAGGTAAGATCCCTGGTAGAGAAGTATTGGGACCCTGCAACAGGGAATGGGGGCATTTGGGTAGATAAAAATGAGGCTGAGAACTTTGAGTAAGAGTTACATTTCAAATAGGTGATGGGCATTAAGGAATGCAGCACTTGTAATGAGCACCAGGTTTGTATGGAAGTGATGAATTACTATATTGTACACCTGAAACTAATATTACACCGTGTGTTAACTAACTGGAATTTAAATAAAAATTTTTAAAAAGAGAGAGATTTCAGCATAGCCCTGATGGAGAAGGACAAGACCAGTTCTTGAGGAGAAAACTTATGCACTGAAG